GTTACTGACAGAGATAACTATACTTACATTCAGCACTTTCCATTATATACCACTGTCAAAAGATAATGACTTTTATAATTTGTCTCTCTCTCCCTCTCTCCCCCCAACTGTGCTATATTTTATTACTGGTATGCCTGCTTTCCCCTTTTAGCCCCATTTTCCTTTTTGAGTCCCAGTTTAATGAGTTGGGTTTTTTTTCTTCTCTTTTTGTCAGCTACCACAAATCTGAAAAATATATGTAGATCTTCTCCAGAACAATAAGACTATTTCCCTATTTACTCTGAACTTATTTTCTTACGAAAAATAAGAATATCATATTCTTTGAGGTGGAATTTGTTTACCTTGGTGATGTGTTAATTTCTAGACTGATTTACAGATTAGGGAGGATGCCTATACAATGAGAGAGGAATATTCTAATTCCAACCTCTTTCATGCATCATGGAAGACAGCAAATTGAGAGGAAGTTTTCCTGGATTCCACTTATGTTCCATAATCTGGATGCCACAATATCATTATAGCCAAGTTCTGTTAGTGTCTACTTGACTCCAGATTAAGAATTCAGAAAGCAGTGAAGTAAACAGTGTTTCATTTTATTTTTATTTTTTTATTTTTTTAATATTTTTAATATTTATTTTTTAGGTGTAGATGGACACAACACAATGCCTTTATTTTTATGTGGTGTTGAGGACTGAACCGAGTCCCACCCATACTAGGCGAGCACTCTACCACTGAGCCACAATCCCAGCCCTAAAAGCTTTTTTTGTGTGTGTGGTGCTGGGGATTGAACCCAGGGTCTTATGCATGCGAGGCAAGCACTCTACCAACTGAGCTATATCCCCAGCCCTGAAAACATTGTTTTTAGACAGAACAGAATAGTGTAGTAGATAGCATGAAGCAAGGATGTGAACTAGATAGCAGTACTTAAGAAAATGAAATCAATGTTAGAAATGTTACAGAATTATAATTGTCATTACTTGGTGACTAGTTGAATATAGGGCACGTGCGAGAAGGAGCTGTTAGTTTCACATCTTTATAGGAGGAGTGAATCTATGCAGGAAGAGTGATGCATTCCTTGAGGGAAATAGTGAAGTGAACTGAAGCAATCGGGAAGATAAGGAATCTGCTATTTAGACATTTTAAGGTGATAATTGGACAATTAGATGGTCAATGGTATGGTAAGATAAGTCATTACATGTAAGTGTTGTTTAAAGTAGTAAGCCGGGATACAGTGTCACACCTGTAATCCCAATGGCTTGGCAGGAGGATTGCAAGTTCAAAGCCAGCCTCAGCAAAAGTGAGGCGCTAAGCAACTCGGTGAGACCCTGTCTCTGAATAAAATACAAAGTAGAGCTGGGGATGTGGCTCGGTTGAAAACTTCCCTCTGAGTTCAATCCCTAGTACCTAAAACAAAAATAAAAATAAATAAATCATAATAGCTAATTTAACACTTTGAGGATCTGCCATGTGCTGCCATATGTACTGCATATGTATTATTTCCCACAGCCATTCTTAGAGCTAACTAGGTAATTCCAGATAAGAAAGCTAAGGCCGGGACTGGGGTTGTGGCTCAGTGGTAGATTTGAGGCCCTGGGTTTGATCCTCAGCACCAAATAAAGATAAATAAATAAATGTATTTTGTCCATTTACATCTAAAAAATATTTAAAAAGAAGGAAAAAAAAAGCTAAGGCAGAGTGAATTCTCCAAGGGCACATAATTAGTAAAGAAGCACACCAGTATTCAAATTAAACAGTCTTAACTCCAGAGTCAGTACTTTTAATACTTATACTACCTCTTGAGATCACAGAGAAGTAAAAAGGGAAAAACAGAGAGCCTGTAAAAACAGTATTAAATTTTAGAAACACCAGCAAAAGATGCAACAACAAGAAAAAAACCCAAATCACTAAAAATGACAGAAGTGTAAGTTAAATGAAAAAAGGAGAAAAATGTTTCTTAAAGTCAACTGCTACCAATGCCTTAGAGAAGTCATTTTCTTAGCATTTGAAAACTGCACATCTTCAAAAGATAACCCTGTAACCCAGAAAGTTATGTGATTTTTTCCAAAGTTAAGAATTATGTTTTGGGGGCTGGGTTGTGGCTCAGTGGTAGAGCACTCGCCTTTCACGTGCGAGACCCTGAGTTCGATCCTCAGCATCACATAAAAATAAATAAGTGATATAAAAGTATTGTGTTCAACTAAAACTAACAAATATTTAAAAAAAGAATTATGTTTTGTTTTGGGCTAACTCTATTATCTTGACCCTAGTAATTTTATTTTTAATTCACTGTTGTTATTCAAGTAAGTATATGTGTGTAAATATAAATATGTAGACATGTTAGAAAGTAAGTGTGGCTATGTATTTTTTAACTTGAGTTGGCATGGAAAGATACTATGATATGTCATTTATTGCAAAAATAAGTTTACCAAACTTTCCATTTAGTAATGGAAATTGCTATCAGTTTTCCCTTCACCCTTCTCACCAAGCTTTGTTGTAGGACTACTACAAAACTCAACGTTGTTTAAGGTGTGTAATGTCAGTGAGCTCTTATTTTTCTCTATCATTTGAGAACTAGATACTTACATGCTAAAATCCCTAAAGTAGCATTAATATTATGACAAGAAAACTTGAAAGCTGAAGTTTATTTATTTATTTATTTTTAATATTTTTTAGTTGCTGATAGATCTTTATTTTTTTGGTACTAAGAATCTAACCCAGTGCCTCACACATACCAGGCACGTGCGCTACCACTGAGCCTCAGCCCCAGCCCAGAAGTTACATATACACATTATGTTTTATGGTAGTCTACATATCTAAAAGGATTTTTAATCCTTTTAGATATGTAGACCTTGTTATGTATTCCTTTTAGTTATGTAGACCTTGTACTGGGTCTTCAGGGAGAAGTAACTAAGACTAAGGGAAAGGACAGTCCAGATGTGGGAAATAGAGATACAGAAGTATTGAGGGAAAAGTAATTAAAATGCAAAAAATAAGAAATTCTAATATTCTTACTTCCTCACTTTAGATTTAAACCTAGTTTTTACATTATTACAGAAATGTTTTATATAAAATATCTTCATTTGCTTCTACTTTTTAAAATAATATAAATTTTTACATGTTGAAAACTTTTTTTGAAGGATTTAAGAAGTGAGTTATAAAGTAAATTCAATTCTAAAATATATTTTAAAAATAACAGGAAACTAGGGGCTGGAGCTGTAGCTCAGTGGTGAAGCGCTTGCCTAGCACATTTGAGGCACTGGGTTCGGATCCTTAGTACCACATAAAAATAAAGAAATAAAACAAAGGTATGCTGTCCATCTATAACTATAAAAATAAAAGAAATTTAAAAAAATAATAGAAGGCTGGAATGGTAGCTCAGTGATAGAGTAGTTGCCTTGCATGTACATTCTTTTTTTATATTTATTTTTTAGTTGGTTCCCCAGCACTAAAAAAGCATACTATTAGCACAGTATTCTTTATGTCATTATCTTGGGGAGTTATAGTAACGCAATTTTTTGAAGAAACTATTCTAAATTTGTTTTTTCTTAAAGGTTTTTACTTTTAACAGCAAAACTCTTTCTTTCCAAACAAAAATTATACACACAATCCTCAAAATTGAGTTGATTTGCCTGTTGTCTTCCCTTGTCCCTCCTGGTATCCCTAAAATACCTCTGAAACCTTAGGGCTCTCCAAACAATTTGATAATCACTGGTCAAAACATTGGTTATTGATATGTTGTAGATTTCATGAGGTTCCCTGGTTGACTTTTTAAATGGCTATCATCTGCCAGTAAATGGCTATCATTTGCCAGATGTCCTATGTGGTAAGGAGTTTACACACCTATCTCATCCAGTCTCAGAACAACCCATGGGATAGATACCATCCTCATTTTAGAGAAGAAATTGGGGCTCATAAAGGTTAAATAACTTGCTCAGTATCACACAGCTAGAAGTGGCAGAGCCAGGATAAGAAACTTAAAATCTACCCTGACTGTAAAGTCCATGTTTTGTTTAATAAGCCTTATAGAACAAGGTTTGATAGTGAAGGACTCTTAAATACTTTATAGGTAATCTCATCTATTGCTCATAATGGCCCTCTTATTCTCATATTACAGATAAGAAACTGTGGAACAAAGAGCTAAATTACTTTTGTTGTTATTCACCATATCCTTTCCTAATGACAAATTTTAGACTAGTCTAACATATACACATTTGAGAACCTTAATTTTTTTTTAACCCAGCACATTCCAAAGTTAAGAATCATGTTTTGTTTTGGGCTAACTATATTATCTTTCCTAAACTTAAAATATTCAAATTTTTGAAAACAAACACCCTAACAACCTGGAAGTTTGTTTCAATTCTGTTTCTTGTTTGACATTATTTAAATACTATGTCAATATCTGAAGATGTTTTGTTGCCGTTTTAAAATTGGTAACTTAGATTTTAGATTTTTTTTTTTTTTTTTGGTACCAGGGAGTGAACTCAAGGGTACCTGCACACTGAGCCATATCCCCAGCCCTAATTTTTTGTTTTATTTAGAGACAGGGTCTCACTAAGTTGCTTAATGCCTCACTTTTTGCTGAGGCTGGCTTTAAACTCTTGATTCTTCAGTCTCAGCTTCCCGAACTGCTGGGATTACAGGTGTGCACCCAGCACCTGGCTGGTAACTTAGATTTTTATCTCAGAAATGGCTGAGGTTCTTTTTTTTTTTTTTTTGGTTTTGTTTTAGATACTGGGGATTGTACTCAGAGGTGCTTTTAACACTGCGATACATTGCAAGCCTTAATTTTTATTTTTTCAATTTTGAGACAGGGTCTTACCAAGTTACTGAGGCTGGCCATGAATTTGTGGTCCCTCCTGCCTCAGGCTCTCAAGTTGGTGGAATTATAGGCATGTGCCAACACACCTGGCAGAAGTGGCTGTTCTTCAGTTAAATTTTTGTATACTTTATTTTAATAAATTTAAAAATCTTATTAAATTCTAAAAGTAAGCTTTCCATTACAGGTTATGGCCATTGCACCAACTCATTATATCTGGCAACGAGAACGCTCTGTGCACCACAGTGGAGCTGTAAGAAACTACGACAGAGATGAAGTTCAACTGCCCCGGGGACCTAGTGCCACACCAGTAGATTGTTCACTCTGTGGTAAAAAAGGAAGATATGTTAGACTGGGATTGTCTTCATCATCATCTTCATCCAGTGACACAGGAGAGCTAATGGAAAAACACTCTCGGGAATCACACAACTCATTATCAAAGGACATAATAGGTGCTCCTTCTCATGCTTATAGCTATTCTCAAGGTATGATTTAGTGATAAGACAGAATTAGATTTATGCATGTTATTTATTGAGTTCTAGTCAGTCCTTATAGGTAGGGATATATGATTATTTATATATTACAAATAATTAAATTAGTTTGAAAGTTTTCCCCTTTTTAGTTACTACTTTTGTCTTGTGTCCTTATGTTTTATGGTAGTCTACATAACTAAAAGGATTTTTAATGATATATGTTAAATTGAGAACTAATGCACTATAAGCATTAAGTATTACAGCCTGAACCATTTCTTTGAAATGTTTATTCAAAAAGGATTTCAAGATAAAAATAAATTTACTTTTAATATTACCATCTAACTATTGGCTTCCTTCTATATACTTTTTCATTTCTAACAAAATTAGAAGTATACCATATCTAAGCCAACTTTTTTTTCATTTATCATAAAGCATCTTCCTATGTCATCATGTAGTCTTTGAAAGCCTTATTTTTAATCCTGACATGGAACAAGTGCCATAATTTATGTGCATATTTCATTTTTGTTGAGATTTAAGTGCTTTGAACAATAGTATCTTATATTAATTAGAAAGTAATTATATTAACTGGGAATATAACCACACTATATTTTTCAAGTTATTTTTATACATATAGTATTTCTCTGGCATTTCTAATTGGAAATAGTACTAGAAAAAAATATTCTAAAATATGAATCTTCATTACTTATAAAGGCTTTCCTCCAGATTTTTTCTTCTTTTTTTTTTATGTGTGTGTGTGCGCGCGTGTGCAGGGTACTGGTGATTGAACCAAAGGCCCTCTACCACTGAGCACACCCCCAGCCCTTTTTATTTTATTGAGACAGTACTGACAAGTCGCTGAAGCGGGCTTTCAACTTGTAATCCTCCTGATTGAGTCCCCTGAGTTGCTGGGATTACAAGTGTGTATCTGGCTGTTTCTTCCAGATTTTCACCCATCTGAAGGTAGGATTGACAGGTTTCTTATAATTCTGTTTAACTCTATCATAAGAAATTAACTGACCTGGATTACTTCAGAATTTTACCTATTTTTATCCCAGCTTTACTAAAGGAGAAACTAGACTCTAGACACTAGAAAGTAGAGGTTGTGTCCCAGAGTTCCCTGGCCATAGTAATCATTCAACAAACTTGACTGACAGTATAACACCTCATGCATAATTTTTGTTGTTTTACTCATATTTGAAAGTAAATAGGGTCTACCATGGTCTTTCTTTGGTATTCATAATAGGTAAGACGAACTGAATTTTTAAAATGTCCCAGGTACCGAGAATAATCATTTTATATTCATAATATCATTTAATATTCACAGACAACCATATGGTAAATACTGTTCTCTCCACTTGGCAGATAAGGAAATTGAAGCTTAGAGAAGATAAATAATTTGCCCAAGTTAGTGAACTCCAGTTTCTGGCTCTAGACTAGAGCCAGAATTCCTAACTATTATGCTGTGCTGCCCCTTTAATAAAATTCTGCCTTCAGCATAAAAATAAACTGTAAATAAGCCTTTAGCAGACTGCTAAGGAAGTGGAGAAAGCATTGAGAATTGAGTCCTTCATGAATGATTGAATGGAATGACTTCACTCAACAATTTTGAACAGGTTTTACAGAAAGAGGAACAGAAACAGTATATTTTATTCAGACTAGTCCCTGTAGACATCAACAGTAGTATATACTACATTCTAGAACTTGTCATCTCAACAGGAAATTGGAGTGCACACAGGGAGTTAAGGGGCTCTGCCAGTCAGTATGCTTTGATAAAAACAGGTGTTTGAGGGGCTGTGGACAAAAGAGGGGTATTAGGGAAGTTGTAGAAGGAAATGTGTTTTCATCTTGTTCTACCACTGGTTTATTCTGAGTGTTTATTCAAGGTTAATTGGAACCTTGACAAAGAAAAATTATTGATCTCACATACATTTGACCAGTCAAAATCTACATTTTCCTCCAATAACTTAACAAGAGTGAGCTAACTGGGGAGAAACTTAAGAGTTTAGGGAGAGGAAACACATGCCTAAGCAGATGCTGATTTCCAACAGTGTAAAAATTTTTTCCTACAGTCTATATAATGTTGGAATCAATCATGTTGGTTATAGTTGCAGAAAACTCAATCCAGCCATTCACCCAGAGGGATACAAAGAGCTGATGCTCTGTTCCAGGTTTGTATGCTAAACCTTAGCATAGGTAGTTATCAATGCTTCTGAGTTTCCTTCAAACAAAAGAAAACAACGCCTCAATTTTCGGGTGAAAACATGTTTTTCTATCTTTAATTTTTTTTCCTTAAAAATGTTCCAAAAGAGCCAGGCATGGTGGCTCATGCTCTTAATCTCAGTGACTCAGGAGGCTGAGGCAAGAAGATCACATCTGAAACCATCTCAGAAACTAAATAGGACTGGGGATATAGCCCAGAGGTAAAGCATTCCTAGGTTCAATGTCCAGAATCCCACTCCCCCAGAAAAATTCAAAAAAACAAATCTGAATTGCCTGTGATACTTAGAAATGTTTTTCAACTTGAAAGGTAAAATGAAACTGTCAAAACATTTCACTTTTGGGAAGGAAGATAGATGAGATCTTCTTTATGATTTACATACAACACAATCACCAATCTCATTTAAAACCAATCCCCCAAGAAATCCTGAAGTGGTATTATATTATTCTTTTTACTGATGAAAAAATAAGCACCAAAAAAGTCACACCATTACCAGGTAAAACAATACCAACAGAAACCAAGATTAGAACCCAGTTGTATCTAAATACACACATTTTTTTTGTTGTTGTTATGGGAGATTGAACCCAGAGCCTTACACAGGCTAATGCTCTACCATGGAGCTACATCCTCAGTCCCCACAGCACTTTTTTATACTAACCAAACTATTATTGTTTCTCTTTATGCTATGGTAAGCTACATGACACCTAAGCTGGTCCAAGTGAAACATGGGATGCATTATTATGTATTATCTGAGGACCCCTCAGATTTTTGAATGAAGCCCAGGGATAAAATTATACCAAGCCTTAGTACTGGTGCAGGGCAGGCAGAGAACAGTCCAACTGATAATTATACTCAAATAATTTTTCTCAAAAATACATACTATTTTGTGCTTTCCTATTTATTTTGTCATTACCCTTGTTATAGTCATACAGGTTGAAAATCCTTACACTTAGTGAAGACATAATCAGCGTATATAAATTAATGATGTAGCTGGACATGGTGGTACACACCTCTAAATCCCAGCTATTTAGGAGGCAGAGGCAGAAGATTACAAGTTGTGAGGCCAGCTTGGGCAACTTAGTGAGACCGTATCTCAAACTAAAAAAATAAAGGGGCTGGGGACATAGCTCACAGGCAGAATGTTTCTGGGCTTAATTCCTAGTATCACTAAAAATAAAACAAAATTTTATGTATTACTATGAAATCATTGACTTAACCGGTTTTTTTCTCCCTTTAAATACTCAGACACCAAAGACAGTTTAACATTGTGTGTGTGTGTCTTGCCCTGGGGACCAAACCTAAGGCCTTGAGCATGGTAGTCAAGCACTCTACCAATGGAGCTACATCCCTATCTCTTTATAAAAATCTTCTTTTGAGCCAGGCACAGCAGTGCACACCTGTAATCCCAGCTACTCTCAAGGTTGAGGCAGAAGGATCACAAATTCAAAGCCAGCACCAGCCACTTGTAGAAACCCCAAAAAATAAAAAATAAAAAAAAGGTAGGGCTGGGGTTGTAGCTCAGTGGTAGAGCATTTGCCTAGCACACGAGACACTGGGTTTGATCCTCAGCACCACATAAAAATAAATACAGCTTAAAAAAAGGACTAATTAAGAAACTTAGTGGTAAAGTGCCTCCTGGTTTAAATCCCTAGTACAATATATATATATATATATATATATATATATATGTACTTTTGAGAGTGTCTTACTAAATTGTGTGCAGGCTGGTCCCAAACTTTCTACACCCGCCTCCCGCACCCAGTAGCTGAGATTACTGGTGCAGGACACTGACCTGACTTAACTTTCTTCTAGTATCTCCTTTTATATAACCATGAAACATTCAGAAATTCCTGCTATCTCTGAAATATAAGGTTCAAAATCAAAGCCTTCTACAATTCAAGAATTATATACCTAAATCTTCCCCTTAGAATAACCAAGACAACAGATGAAACTACATGATCCAGTGCAGGCTTAAAGCCATCAAACTTATTTACCAACTTCTGTCTGGGAAAGGTGGAGCAAGACCTGAAAAGCAATGGGAGGACAGTTTTAAGTCATCCCAGATTTCTAAGAGTTTACAGTATGATATCTGAGAGTCAGGCTTGGACATAGAAAATTAACATTACAAAACATCTGTATTATAAACCAGTTTGTCAGTATTCTCAGTGGACTGAAGAAAAGGCTTAAAATGGGACTTGATTAATTTTATACATGAATTCTTACTTGCTTGGTCTTCGACTCATATTTAGAATGGAAACCACATAAGAGAGGTCTTGTTCAATTCCATATCTACTGAACACATTGTACTGAAGAGAAGTTCAGTGTCCTACATAAAACAGAATTAAAGGACAGCACATTCTTTTGCTCTTAATCCTGCCCCTCTACAAGTAGACAATTAGAACCTGACACATAATGGGCATTTGAAACTATAGTTATGCAGAAATATAACATCAAAAGAATACTCTCCTCTAGGTGTAATCAGTTCTCTGATGTAACCAGAGTGATTTTTTTTCCAAAACACAACTCTAAGCCTATTATACTTTACTTAATTCAATCTTTCAATGGTACTCCATTTTTTCTTAGGGTAGATAAATTCCTCAAAATGCCAGAAGATCCTACATGATCTGATCCCTATGTACCTTTTAGTCTTTTTCACTCACCTCTAGCATCACTGGCCCTTTTCTCATTTTCCCTGCCTAGTCAATAATTATTTACCATTCAGGTCTCAGTTCAAGTGCTGCCCCTGTTATGTCTATTCATAGTACCCTCCATTTCTATGGAACATTTATTATAGTTTTATTTTTATATTTGTGTAGTTGTTTATTATCTGGCTTTATTATGGACCATAAACTCTGTAAAGCAGGTTTTTAGGTTAAAATTCTCCACATTCTATAAACTGTTATAAAAAAAATTTTTACATACACACTAATATTGATATATATATATATATATATAATATATATATATCATATATAATCTTTTAAAAAAATAGTTATAACTTAAGAGACAAATCCAGGAATAATAGCATTTATCTGCCCAGGCAATCCTATTTCAAGACCTGTAAAAGATCTACAATTAAACAACAACTCAGTCTCTTAATCTTATCCATAAAATATGGATAACTTTAAAGATGAGTTGCAAGTTTGAAATTAATATATGTAGTTCTTTAAACAATGTATGGTAGATAGTAAACATAAAATAACTGATACTTATGAATAATAAGCCCCATTCATTCCTAATCAATTCATATTTCTAAAGTGTATTTCTCCAAACGTTACATACAGTGATTTTCGATGTTCTTTCAAGCCAATTCAAAAGATACTGAGAGGGATAAAAAAGATTTAAGAGGGGATGGGATTGTGGTTCAGTGGTAGAGTGCTCACCTAGCATGCATGAAGCACTGGGTTTGATCCTCAGCACCACATGGAAATAAAATAAAGATATGTGTCCACCTAAAATTAAAAAATTAAAAAAAAAAGATTTAAGAATTGTTATATCTTAGGGATATAGTTCAGTGGTAGAGCACTTGCTTAGCATATGCAAGACTTTGGGCCGACCGGCCAACACCCATAACAAAAAAAAAAAAATCACGTCTTTATTAGAATTTTTAAGGTGATTATATCATTCTTATCAGTTTATCCCCTACTATAGGGGGAAGTGTTACTGATAATTGAACCCAGGGGTGCTTTAGTACACATCCCAAGTCTTTTTATTTTTTATTTTGACAGGGTCTTGCTAAGTTGCTGAGGCTGCCTTCAAATATGCAATCCTTCTGCCTTAGCCTCCTGAGTCACTGGGACTATAGGCATGTACCATGATGCCTCGAATGCCCCCTACTATTTACTATAGCCAGGATTTCTCATTGTTTCTAAGACAACAAGCAATTAAATTACATATTTAAAATATATGGATACATCAAATTTATCTTAAAATGCATTTTATTTCAGTAGCCAAAGACCATCAATCAAAGAAAGGAAAGAACACTAATTTCATGAAGACAGACAAATCCATGGAGTGGTTTACAGGAAGTGAAGAATGAGATGGCTCATCTAAAGCAACTTGGAATCATTAGCTACAAAAACTAAATGCAAGACATATGTCAAAATGGGACATTTAAGCAGTTTTGCAAAGTTTCACATCTTTTTTTAGCTTTTGTTCTTTTTCAAAGTTATATGTAAAAGTTATACAAATCATAGTAACAGCTAAAAATACTAATCTATGAAACTAGTGATTTATAGCTTAAAGTTCTAGTTTGATATTTTTCCATCTTCAAATAGGTTGCCATCATTTGGGATACTCAGTTAAGTTGTGGTTTGAACTTCCTCAACTTGACAAGAAAAGCTAATTTAAGAGAAGAAAAAAAATAAGGTCATTATATTACATTAATTAAAATAAAAAATAATTTAATATGGCCTGAAAACATTACTCACCTGTATGACCAGCTTGCCAATGTATAGGTCTGGCAATATAGGGAAATGATCCATATGGAAAATCAGAATGTGATCCTTCTGTTATAGAACAAAATATGTACTATAAGCTACATAAATATTTTATAATTTGTTTATATTAACTGTTAAAATATTAATTACTATCCCTTTACTGAAGTTTTTTCCTCAGTCTTTTTTTTTTTTAAAGCCATTTGTTTTGGAAATACTCTGCCAGAAACTATACAGAAACAATTCATCAATGATTATATAATAACTTTATCATATGGTTTTATAACCAAAAGGATAAGCCCATATCATAAATCAATGGATATCTGAAAACTTTTTCATGGTCTAAATAATGTGTATAATACAACAAGAAGCTAAATTTAATTCTCTGAAGAATTCCAGCAGCATCTTAGGGGAGATGCTTTTTGCAATAATAGCTATCTGCATATCAGGTCATATTAAATTCATCAGTAATAATAATCACTGATCTATGTTTTAAACATCCTTTAGTATATTTAAATTATTCCACAAACCAAGCTCATGTGACAAACAATAAATATGAATCATAGACAATGTCCAATTCTTCAAAGATACCAGAATTTTAAAAGTACAAAAAGTCATTATTTCTTCTATTCATTCTAGGAATATTTTTTGTTATATAATGGTCAATACACTTAAGAATCCATTCTCCATTTATCACAAACAGATGCACAAAGTAAAATTGAAGCTCACCATGGTCATTCTCTTGAAAAATCTCACTTTCAACTCCAGTTTCCTTTTGGGTATGTAATTGTAAATCTTTGTTGATTTTAGGTTCTACTTTTTGAACTAAAATTCCATTTTTCTGTTTTGCAAGGCAAACCAACCAATCTCTGACAATGACTTCGCTTATCTTTTCACATGACAGAGCAAGTTCACAGATGCGAATTCCATCTAAAAGTTCAATAACCTGTGTGATGCTTTTAGAAAAGTGAAAAATATACCTTTACATTTCTACCAAAATAATAACTCTACATTTATTTTAAGTTCACTGTACATCTTACCCAAATTTAAGTGATATTACCCAAATTTAAATGCTATATGTAATTAAATTAAGGGGGAGGGGATTAAAAATGCAAGTTGACACATAAGTAATGTCACATACTAAATAAAAAATAGACATTAATTTAACTTTAGTGTTCACATTATGATTTGAAAACTTCTTCCCAATTGTTGGAAGAAACATGTATCTTATTATTTATGTAAAAGGATGATTTAAATAGCAATATAACTGAATTTGGACCATATGTCATGTTTTGCCTTAGTTATAATATGAATGTATATACCCAGTTACAATATGAACATTTTAATCCAGTATTTAGGAAAAATAAAAAGTGTATTTAAAAATCACATTAGAAAGAAAATTGTCCCTATTACTCACTTTGCTAGATATACAGCACATACACCACCCTGTTTAAGATTTGGATATAAAACAGGCAAAGCAACTTGAGGGTTTAACATATCCAAAGCTACCTGTGGGGAAGGGGGAAAAATGAAATGCATCAGTCTGATTGTTTAAATAAAGCATGGGTTTTCTATTCTTAATTGTGGTGAAATGACACTTTTAGAAAGCTATTACCCAGTTATTTCTTCGAATATGGTACTATTAGAATATTAACTGTCATTTTACTGCTCCCCAAATGGTTGTTTATCACTATACAATTTTTCATAGCATTTGACTATATATAAAAATCAGAATGGTATACCTTGTACTTGGCAATATTAATAGAGAAATCTTTCTTTGGCTATTAATGTATACGTGAATATGGACAAGAATTCCTGTATTAATATTGCCATATGTAAGACATAATGTTATAAAAAGTTAAAATATATTTGAGGCCTTGTAATTTTAAAAACATCTTTATTTTGTTGTTTATTTTTATGTGGTGCCTCACATGTATGAGGAAAGCGCTCTGCCACTGAGCCACAACTCCAGCCCTCTCTTGCTAAAATATAAATTTAAATGCTTTAGTTCAGTTTTGGTAGTAAAAATTCACATTATTTTAAAATGTTTTAATTTTTTATGTTTAAAGGAGAAGCTCTGAATATTAATTTTGGAGGGTAAGAAATGTGCCCATTATTGCTTTTTTCTTTATTCAATTGTAGATTACAGGGCTGTAACAGATGACAAGTACAATGAGTAAATGAATGACTGAAAGTTTCAAGTAAAAAATTAATTAAAAACAGGGACTGAGGCTGGGCCTCAGAGGCAGAGTGCTTGTTTAACACAGGTGAGGCACTAGGTTAGATCCTCAATACCACATAAAAAATGAATTAAGTGGGCTGGGATTGTGGCTCAGCAGTGGAGCGCTCGGCTAGCATAGGCGGAACCCGGGTTGGATCCTCAGCATCACATAAAAATAAAGGCATTGTGTTGTCCATCTACATCTAAAAAATAAATATTAAAAATAAATAAGTAGATAAAGTTATAAAATATATATACTTTAAAAAATTAATAAAAAACAAAAAATCCAGTCAAAGTAACATTTATTGTTGGAAAACTCCAGAAAGCTTAGAGTTATTGGCACATCTATTTATTAAATGATATATTATTGTTTATGTGTTTAAGTAGCTCAGAGTGCTTGATTAGTATGTATGAGGCCCTGGGTTCAATCCCCAGTACTCCAAAAATTCAAACAAACAGTGGGGTGCAGTGGCAAACGTCTGTAATCTCAGTGGCTCAGGAAGCAGAGATAGGAGAATGGGGAGGTTCAAAGCCAGCCTTGAAATGGCGAAGTGCTAAGCAAATCAGTGAGACCCTTGTCTCTAAATAAAACATATAAAATAGGGCTGGGGATGTGGCTCAATGGTTGAGTACCCCTGAGTTCAATCCCTGGTACCACTCCCCCAAATCAAAACACCAGCAGTACATTAGACCAATGGACATTATTCACTGTTTACCAAATTTTTTTAAAAAATATTTTTTAGTTGTTGTTGGACACAATACCTTTATTTTATTTATTTATTTTTATGTGGGGCTGAGGATTGAACCCAGGGCCTCACACGTGCTAGGCAAGCACTCTACTGCTGAGCCACAACCTCAGTCCTATTTACCAAATATTTACTAAGCACCTTTTTATACATGTCAAGCATTTTCCTTATGGAAATCTAACATTGTTACGAGGATGTTGACTGACATGAACTATAACCATACAGCAGAATAAGAGGACCAAGACTGACAGGCATTGAAAGGTGCCATTTTATATATGAGCTGGTCAAAGAAGAAATCTGAAGAAAATGATTTACAATGGAAAGTTAGGGGGGAAGTGTGCTGCAGGCAGGAAAATAGCAAATACAAATGTTCTGAGGCAGTGGGCTACTTGGGGAGTTTGAAGGTGCCACTGTTGCTTACAGTGGAGATGAATAGGGGAAAATGGTAGGGATATGTGGAAGTAGAGAGGAGACAGCTTACATAGAATTTTGCTGGCTTTAGCTTTACTTAGGGAACAGTCTCTGGAAAGTTTTAAAGAATGCCATATGGATTTTTAAAAAACTTTTGTGAACAAGAAAGCATAGTTTAAGCATATAACTCGGTGTATTGACCTCCAGGGGGACTGAATTCAGGGGTGCTTAACCATTGAGCCACATCCCCATCTCTTTTTAATATTTTATTTAGAGACAGGGTCTCACTGAGTTACTCAAGGGCCTCGCTAAATTGCTGAGGCTGGCTTTGAACATGCGATCCTCCTGCCTCAGCCTCCTGAGCCACTGGGATTACAGGTGTGCGCCACCATGCCTGGCTGAACTTTGCTTCATTTTTCAACAAGTTAAGGAAAGCAAGGAAGATCCCTTATTCCAGGCCTAAGACCATAGTGCCAGGCTATGAATGTTGAGTAGCACCACCAAGGACAAGGCAACTCCAACACTATGTAATTCTGAAACTTTTAAGTCACTTAATACCTACACATTCCACATCTCTACCATCTTTGGTTATTGCTTAAAATACCATCCTTTCTTTTCATCTGTCCTTTTATCTACTATACTTCTCCCTAAGTTAACCTCTCACTGCTATAAATCCCCCTAATCTCCACATCTTTAATGAACACTCCTGTACATCCTGACTTCTAAAGATGCTGCTTACCTATTCCCTCTCAAAATGGAGGCTATTTATCTCCCTACTTCTCACAATTGAGGTTAGGCACTGGTCTCAAAATGCTCCCAATGCTGCTTCCTAATTATTATTCCTTTATCATGGAAACGCTGAGATTTATTTTTTTTTATTTTTATTTTTTAAAGAGAGAGTGAGAGAGGAGAGAGAGAGAGAGAGAGAGAGAGAATTTTTTTTTTAATATTTATTTTTTAGTTCTTGGCAGACACAACATCTTTGTTGGTATGTGGTGCTGAGGATCGAACCGGGGCCGCACGCATGCCAGGCGAGCGTGCTACCGCTTGAGCCACATCCCCAGCCCCAACGCTGAGATTTATGATGATCAACTTTTGCTTCTAACTTCTGGTCATTATCCAACATTCATGGACAACTGTGGCACCTGAGTCAGTTTCTCTGCTCCAAATCCCACCATGATATTAAAAGGTATTAAAGAAAAATACTCATCTTTAGTTATAGAAATAGGGCAAATATAACAAAGGCTGTTCCCCAAACACAAGAAATCCAATTGTTTTCTTTGTACTCAAATAGGACCTACTTTTAAAAAAACTTACTGCATCAAATGTTAAAGATTTGATATCTTCAGTTGCTCCAGAAATATCCTTATGAATAAAATTCACATTGTCTGGCCATTCTTCATTGTGACTTAATTTCCATGAATCACGCCAGTGCTTGTAATTCTTCTTGGCTAGATAATGGTGGTCTTTCCGTATTTCAAAACTTATGACTTGTCCTTGTAATCCAACTTAAGTTAAAAAAACAACTTATATTTCATAGTATAAAGTGTCAATCTATTTTCCAAAGGAATTATTAAACATGTGAAAAAAACTAAACAGTTCAAGGTTACAAAAGTACTTCTCCCATTCCTGATCCACCATCTTCCTCTTCTTAGGTAGCCATATTACCCATTACTTACACTTCCCACACTAGTGGGTGCCTATACCAACATGCAAGTAACTCTGCTTTTCATATATATCATGACAAAAATACACTGTCTTGTACCTTACTCTTACTTACCAATGTTATTTCAGCAGTTATGGGTATACTTTTAATAGCTAATACATTACAGTGTATGTCTATACCATAACTTATTTAATAGTCATCTTCGATGAACATTTAGCTTGTTTCTCATCTTGTGCTAATACAAATAACACTGCAATGAACATTCTTCTGCCTAAGTCTTCATAATATATGTCAGTTTATCTTTATAGGACAAAGTACTAAACATAGAATTAGTAGTCCAAAGGGCATGTCAATTTTTTATTTTGAAAAACAATTGTCCTCCAAAAAAGTGGTGTTGATTTATACTTCCAACAATGTATTAATAGTGTCTACTTCTCCATATACCCTCTTCAACAGTTATCAAACTTTTTATCTGTGTCAATATAAAAATTTAATAGTTTATCATTGTAGTTTTACCTTTATTATTGATGAGGGTTGAGCCTTTCATATATTTAAAAAGGATTTGAATTTGGTATGTGTCCGATGAATCTTCAAATTGTTTAACATAAGTAAACACTACAGTTCCAGAGAATACTATATCTTAAGGCAATTAGGAGGGAAGACAAGAGGAGGCATCTGTGATACACAAACATATCCTTCATCAACCTAGGTACTAAATGCATGAGTGTGGTCACTGTATACAAGTTCATGGAGGGTTGAGGATTTAACTCAGTGGCAGAGCACTTACCGAGCATGCACAAGGCCCTGGGTTTGATCCTGAGTAGTGGGGGAAAAGTTCATGTGGTATAAACTTATAATCTGTGTACTTTTTGTTTCATTAAAAAATTTACTTTATGGGGCTGGGACTATAACTCAGTGGTAGAGGGCCTGCCTTGCACGTGTGAGGCACTGGTTTCGATCCTCAGGACCAAATAAAAATAAATATATTGTCTCCATTTACAACTAAAAAAATTTTTTTTAATTTACTGTAAAAAAATTGTAGAAGCAGCTGGGAATGATGGCACACACCTATAATCCCAGCAGCTCTTGTGATCGATCCTCTTGCCTCAGCTGATCACAAGTTAGAGGCCAGCCTCAGTAACTCAGTGATGCCCTAAAAAATAAAAAGGGGATGTGGCTCACTAGCTAAGCACTCCTATGTCTAAATGAAAGAAAAGAAGGAAGGAAAAAAGGACAGAAAAAAAGAAGGCAGGCAGGGAAGAAAGAAAGGAAGAAGCAAGTGAGGTACAGTGGCACATGCCTCTAATCCCAACGACTCAGGAGAATCACAAGTTTGAGGCACCAGCCTGGGCAATTTAGAGAGCTCTAATCTCAAAGTAAATAAAAAAGGACAGAAATGTAGTTCAGTGGTAAAACGCCTGTGCATTCTACCCCCAATACCTGGATGCGGGGGGCAGCATTAGAATGGAGGGATTAAAAGAAAAGAAATGGATGGAGGGTTAAAAAGAGTGACTGGAATAAATGAACAAAACACGAA